TGCAGAAAGTTAACTTGAGATAAGGCCTCCGGAGAGCGGGAGAAAGAGAGAATGCTTAGCTAGAGACATCAAGAGCTAACACTTCAGAGAGATATGAGGACACAGAAGAAATGGGGACTGAAAGATACTCAAGAGAGCAAGCGAGACCTCTTAAAGAATCACAGTTTTGTACCCTTATCCATTTGGGCACCTGTGCCTACCAGAGCTTGACCCAAAAACACACTACGACCCTTTCAACATGATTCATGTCAATACATTAAACTCTACAGAGACCAGTGTCAAGCACTAGCATTAAAGCTGGCCCTAGTGCAACTTTCAAATGAGGAGTCCTTGATGTTACCTCTTGCATTTGCATTTACTATTCACAGTTTTAAGGTTCCCACATCTTTTGATCAGGGAACTGAACTTTTTCATTACAGAAACCTTATTTTTACATGCAAACTCTGAGGTCTCTTTTGCAATTGGTAGCTACGCACAAAATAAAATGGTCAATAACATTATTTTTAAAATGAGGGTATATTGTGCTAACAAGCTTTGAAATTAAATAAAGAATTCAACAACTTTCCTTAAAGCAAACAGATGCAGTTGCATTTGTGTAACATTTACATTGATGGATTTATGTACTTCTACTAAATTGTGAGGATAAAAATTATTGATGTTTGACAAATCATTTTTGGTACAAAAAGCACTAGTCGTTGTCCGTGCACTTTTATTAAAGGATCTGACAAAAGAGTGTGTAATTCTAAAAGTTTACTATGAAAAATTCTTTGATTTCATGAAAAACTAGTTAGTTTTCAATCCTGAACAACTAACGTTCAATTACGTGAAAAATACTCAATTTCTCATTGAAACTCAATTAAACTATATTTGAGCTTTGCATTTCAAATGACTTTCCCAGTTGTTTGTGATTATTGGTTAACAATTTTAAAAGTGCACTTTGTATAGATTACACTCACAATAAATATAACATTTTAGCACTCAGCATCATTAAAATATATCATTAAGTCCTGGGAAACACTCTACCATTTAGTGGGAGTCTTGCTTCCTACTTTCTACTTAAAAGTATTTCGTGATGCAACCTATTATGCTTTTCATCTCACGCATGTTTTGAAGCCCCGACGCCATTCACTTTACAAATTCCTAAAACACTGACCACTTTTAAATGAATTTTTCCAAGGCAAAAAAAACACCCTTGATTGACTACTGCTTTCCAGCTTGATTAAAAGACACGAGACTCACAGATGCATGAAATATCCCTCTGTACGACATCCCGAGATACTGACAGAACAGCTGCGTCTAATGAACGCGGTTTCTTTAAGACAACACAAACCCAGGGCATCAAGGACTAGTGCACAAGTATGCAAAACACACTTGCATCTTTCTCGAAAGAGGGGATACACCAGGGAGAAGATATAACATGAGAGTGTGTGAAGAAAAAATCTCACATGTGGAAAAAAAAAAAAAGGACACTAAAAGCATATTTATTTAAACTCTTTCAGCACAGGAAAGAAGCCCAGACAGAAAATTGTGTATTCTGCACCTCAAAATACAGTATTAAAGCTTCTCCGCAAGAATGGAGAGGAAAAGTCAAGCTGAACTTCAGGAAAACAAACCAACAGAATAAATACCGAGTCATTTCAACAGCATTCGGATTTGGATCAAGGGATATTATGCTTGGTTTTCACAACTTTTAGTCCACAATTGACAGCTCTTCTTGTCAAAACCTTGATTTCAATGTGCATTTATCTTTCTATCCATTGAAAGCATAGCACATATACATACACATCACCCCTAACGATCCTCTAGAGGATTTACTTCACAACCAAGTGCTTCTGAAACGACCAGCTCCACTATAAAGAGCCTGTTGTGTGTTTAAATGCGGCAAGAGCGAGATACAGTGAGACAAAGCAAACGCCACACGATTCATCTCTCTCGATGACATCATCCCGAACGTCTACAGCCGATGTGAATGACGACAGCGCCTCCAAGTGGCCGAAAGCTGATCTACATTTAAGGTTCTTCATATTACATCCATGGCACGTTGGTACTCTAAAATCAAGCATAAAGTCTAGTTTTTGAGACACTAAATGTCAATCAAACTGATGGACCGCAATTTTATCTTCACAAGCCCCATATATGGCAAGCATCAAATCACTTTTTGGTTAAACACTGCCTAAATGACCAAATCTGATCATACTTAATCACTGTGATGTAGTTTGTGTGTTAAAAAATGGCCAAAAAACCCCTTTGAATCTTTAGAATTCAACTAAATGCACATATAAAACCTATATAAAAATTATAATTATACACAAACTTACTGGATGCGCAAGAAACTAAAACAAATGTAACAATTTTTAATGGTCATGACTTGTTTTTAACTAAGTAATGCAAAATGATTTATAAATCCTCCAGATATTGAAATATTTTAAAAAAATATTAATGTAACATTTTCATCAGCATTTGGGACATAATATTGTTTACCTCATTAAAATATTGATTGCTAAAATATATGTTTTAAAAAATTATATATATGCACAAATGTATTGAATGCACTCGAAAAGAAAGCAAATATAACAATTTTAATGGTGATGACTTGTTTTTAACAGTAAGTAGTGCAAAATGATTTATAAACCCTCCAGATATGGAAATATTTTAACAGTATTTGTGCCTTAATAATGTTTACCACCAAAAAATTGATTACTAAAACATATTTTTAAAATTATAATTAAAGCTATACACAAATGTATTTAATGCACAAGAAAATAAAGCAAATATAATATAAAACTGACTTGCTTTGAACTGTAAGTAATGAAAAATTATTATAAACCATTATAAACCCTCCAGATATGGACATATTTTAACAAAATATTAATGTAACATTTTCATCAGCATTTGTGACATAATATTGTTTACCTCATGAAATATTGATTCCTAAAATATGTAAAAAAATAAATAAATAAAAATTATATATATATATATATATGTGTGTGTGTGTGTGTGTGTGTGTGATTATGCACAAATGCATTGAATGCACAAGAAAAGAAAGCAAATATAACAACTGTAAGTGCAATGACTTGTTTTTATCTGTAAGTAATGCTTATAAACCTCCATATATTAATGTTTTCAACAGATTTTGTTGCATAATATTGTTTACCACATAAAGCACTGATTCCTAAAATATATAAAAAAAAAAGATGATTTAAGTAATTTTACAGATAAAAAAAATATATTTTAAGTTATTTTTGTGTTTTTATAGTATTTTTTGTAAGATCATTAAAAGCAGAAATATGAGGCTCGTATTATTAAGTGTGTTACTCAGGGGTTAAAGCAAAAAAAACAAAAAAAAAACAAATCCTGAGCCTGAACTTTTTTCTGGGGGTTGCTGGGGGCGGACACATACACGGGGTTATTTGGCAAACAAAAAAAGAAACTAACTAGTAACGTATCTGCCATTGCCATTAGCCCCTGACAGGCTTAGACTACAGATTATGGTGGGATATTTGAAACAATACCAAGAAAGTTTACTCACTACAATATGGTGCAAACACATGTAACATTTAGGATGCTTTTGATATCAATTTTGCTGGTTAGCTTTGTCCTATTGCACTACTTTTTTGGTTTTCAAGGACTAAAATCAGATCTCAATAATCAATCAATGTTGTTATCATCTTTCAAATTCTAATAAATAAACTAATAAAACAAAAATGGTACAAATAAAGTGCAGCACATGCAAAGAATGCAACGACTGTGGGAACTTTAACATTTGAAAGGATACTATGGCAAAGTTATCGCTTTCCTTATTCAAACTGATTTTTTTTTTGATGAATATATGATCGACCTGAAGAATGAAAGCTATATCATACACTTGGAAAATTATGAGCTTTATCATGCTCATAGACACTAGGGGTGTGACAATACACTTAGCTCACGAGATGAGACAAAATGCAGATACTTGGTTCAATTTCATGTGATTCAACGACGTTTAAATCCATTTAATTTTAATATTTGGCCACATACAAAGTCAGAAACTTTTATTTTGAAATCGCAATGTACAATAAATCGCATATTTAGACGTATGTTGATGTATTCTCCTGTGTTGGCATAGGTTTAAATGATTTACGTTACAAATCAAGTGAGTTTTCCCAGATGAACGTTAAGCATCCCAAACTCACCGCATATGCAGAGTTTAGCCCCTTTCACACATACAGTCTTTACTGGTAAATTACCGTTAAGAGATCATGTGTGAACAGGACCTTTTCAAAAATCCCCGGTAAATTCGTTCTGGCAATCATGTCGTTCTTATGGAGATGGCTTGATAACTCTGAGCTGTTTACAAAGCTCCACTGCTTTTTTAATAGCTTTTCTATGTAAATATGATGCTAGATGGAAATCTTTGAACGCGTCGCAGCTTTTTCAATGTGTCGCGCTCGAGACCCAGGCTTCTTTTCCATTCATCAGCTGCGACTCTGCAATTGGATAGTATTATACGTGTCTCGTGTTTATAAGAGCAAAACATTCTGATTGGCTAGTAATGTTAGTTTGGTTGAGAGTGAAAGCTGTGTTCCTCTCATACATTGGTAGATATCAACAAGTGTTTTTAAATGTAAGACGACTATCTTTTTTTTTCCCGCAGCCAAACGCTGCACGCCGGAGATCCGGCACAGTGCCGGAGAACTTTAAGCCCTGGTTTCTGTAATATAATTTTTTTTTAATCAAATTGTTTCTTTTTTTTTCGATTTTCAGAGTGCATTTTTATATAAAACGTAAAAAATGTATTTCTAACATGAATTTAAAAATCATAATTACAATTAAAGTTATACACAAATTTACTGAATGCACATGAAAAGAGTCAATATTTGGTCAAATACTGCCAAAATTACCAAATCTGATCACACTTAATCACTTTAATGTAGTTCAAGTGTTAAAAATGGCCAACAAACTCCTCTGAATCTTTTTGCACTCAACTAAACGCAGATATATAGTGAATGTAGGACTCTCACCAGGACTTTGGTTGGCCGAAATGCAGGTAGTTGATGCTGTAGAGGTCCATGTCCTCCGTGTGCCAGGCGAAAGTGGTTTTCCACATGCCAAAGTACAGGTATGGCGTGTTGACGCCCTCGATGACGATCCCACACTCCTGCTCCACCATGTCCAGAAGAGTGTTCAGATGGCCGATGTTCCACTCCGTGATGTCCTGATGAAGAAAAAACATCATAAAGACATGCATATTGATAAAATCATCAAGGTTATTACAGTAACTAAATCCATACTTAAAGGTGACATATTCTAAGTGCTATAATCAGGTCCACGGTGCATCTACCAACCAAGGAAACGTGAAAAAGATTAACACAGTAACTTTGTTTTGGTAAGCCTTTTTCAATAGGCATTTTCAAAATGATATAATAAATTATCTGTGGAGTATTTTGAGCTGAAACTTTACAGACACATTCTGGGGACACCAGAGGCTTATATTACATATTGTAAAAAGGGGCATAATATGTCTCCTTTAAAATAAAACAAGCTTTAACTGAAATAAAATATTAAAAGAAAATGTATATCACCATAGTTTCCTATTGAACACTAATCATAGTAAAGGTGACTAACCTGGTCATAAAGGGACCCGCTGATGTCGGCGCCATAAATGGGCGACACAAACGTCAAGTTTTTCCAGTACTTTCTTTCCAGGTCATCAAAGTCCTTGTGTTGAGGGGTGCAGTACCTGAGATCGGTCAAGAAAACACAAAGTTAAAGTATAAATCAAGCTTGAAGAACCAATGAAACACTTGCTGTAGTAAAAGCGCAAACTTAGTATTAAACTTACATTAAATCTACACTACCAGGTCAAAAGTTTTTGAACAGTAAGATTTTTAATGTTTTTTAAAGAATTCTCTTCTGGTCACCAAGCCTGCATTTATTTGATCCAAAATTCATCAAAAACAGCAATATTGTGAAATTTTTATTTAAAATGACTGCTTTCTATTTGAATATATTTTAAAATGTCATTTATTCCTGTGATCAAAAAGCTGAATTAAAAACATTTATTATATGTATTATTATTATTATTATTAATATTTAAAACAGTTGAGTACATTTTTTTCATGATTCTTTGTTGCATAGAAAGATCCAAAGATCAGCATTTATCTCAAATAAAAAGCTTTTGTAACATTATACACTCTACCATTCAAAAGCTTGGAGTCAGAATAATTGCAAGGATGCTTTAAATTGATCAAAAGTGATGATAAAGACATTTATAATGTTACAAAAGATTTATATTTCAGATAAATGCTGTTCTTCTGAACTTTCTATTCATCAAAGAGACCTGAAAAAAAATCTACTCCGCTGTTTTCAACAATGATAATAATAAATGTTTTTTGAGCAGCAAATCGGCATATTAGAATGATTTCTGAAGGATCATGTGACACTGAAGATTTCTGTATTTTGGATCAAATAAATGCAGGCTTGGTGACCAGAAGAGACTTCTTTAAAAAACATTAAAAATCTTACTGTTCAAAAACTTACTTCACCATTCAGTCAATCTTTTTGAAAAAATACCCCCAAAAAACAATTTAAATTTTAGTCACGTTATTGACATAAAGGTCCAGATAAGAGAGGGCAACTTTACAAAGAAACCACGTTGTATACATTATAAAAATTGGATTTGATCAAACAAAGCGTACTTTTTACTATTGGCCAGTTTGCGATATTCTCCGACCGTCATGGACTTCTTCTGGATGTTGTATTGAGTGAAGAGTCCTGATTGGCCGGTCACCACTTGCATGATGGGAGCAGGAATGACCATCTCTTCAATGGTCTCATAGGAACGCCGCGGCTTCCACTCCTTCGGCGGAATAACCTGAGCGAGAATATAACCGTACAGTTAGATAACTGACACAAGCGTTTTTCATTATGTTTGCTCAAGTCCTTAGAAAACAAAAATGACTATCTTAGTGTTCAGAAGATATGAAAAAATACATTTACAGAATTGATTATTCAAAGTTATATATATATATATATATATATATGTAAATATATGTGACACTGGACCACAAAACCAGTCACAAGTCGAAATTGAGATTTATACATCATCTGAAAGCTGAATAAATAAGCTTTCCATTGATGTATGGTTTGCAA